AGTGAAAGAATATGTGGACCGTATATTCCATTTAACGAATTCATATAATATATGCTTCTGATATGTTCTGTCATGACATATGAGGTCAGAGCATTATCTTATGGCGTATCTCTACAATATCATGAGCATATACATCAAACAAAGGGGACAAATCTCTAAGTCTCACTTGTAACCTTAATGTATGTCTAGTTCATTCTGAATGTCCTCTATGCTTGTAGCTCTTTATATCTAAAGTAGCTAATCTAATGAATATCTCTATCCTACTATTTTCAATCATATTTATTATATGTTTCACTTGTCAAAGGATCTCTAACATTAACAAGTTGTTATCTACTCCCAAGATGGTCAGATAAAGGAATAAATATATCGCATAAATTCACATGAGTAAAATATATCAATACAAGTCATTCCTAACATTCAAAAGATTACTAATTTATTAAACTTCCCATTATCCAAATGTGTACTGGTGTTTTTGGTAACCAATCACGAGTTTAGAAAGTAAGTGAGATTAATTCGAAAAATATCCAAAGCAATTTGTACAAATTATTTGTGTGAACACACATGCATGTAAACTAAATCCAGTTATCATTTGGACGATAATGGTGTAGAAAAAAATTTAAATTAAGGTAAGTTGTGATAAATGACCAGATAAAATGCACTAAATGACATCAAACAAGAGTGAAAGTAAAAGCAAGAAAAACAAATGTTGCATTTTTTATCACGACAGACTCAATGTATTTCTTTAGCTAAATGATGTTCAATACAATGAAACAAGAAAACAATTAAAAGACTGGACGCAGACACATACATGTTTCTCATATATTGTTTTGCTCGTTGACTCGGGTGTTCTAGTGGTATGGAGAGTATGCATGAAATTTTGCGACCTCTGTTAGAATGTATGAGTGCTATTTATTTTATTTACAAAATAACCACTGACAACAATCCATCCACTATGAAACTATTGTGTTTCACTCCATGTTTGATCTTCAGGTTCCCGTTAGTGTGCCTATGTGTCACCCACGACTATTTATTTTTACAACCCATGTTGAGTTATAAACCGCTTTAAACTTTCTCATGAACTTCTGATAATAACTGCTCAACATGATGTCGACGTTGCTTACAAAGGACTTTGAACTTGTGAGAATACTAAGTCTTTAACCCTTTCGTGATTTAGTCCACTGGTATATTTATTGCAGTAAAGGTTCCGTCGATTGCCCTTTTCGAAAATATGAATATGTTTCTAGATGATCCTAGTATTATGGATTTGTTATTGAAATTACTCCAAATAATATCTTCCTCCGTCGACATCTTGATTGATGCCTTGTCGACACTTCATCATTAATGCCCTTAAGACACTTCATTAATGCTTTCTAACAGTAATTGTATTTCATTTTGACATTCTTTGTTAACTTTCTAATAAATAAAAGTCCAAGTGTAACACCAACAAAGCAAATTTAGCTTATAATGAGTAAAATAAGAACACCACATAGAGATCTTAAGCTACACATTTCTAATAAAGAAGATATAAATGATAAATCTAAGGGTGACACTTTTAATCAATTACAATTTGTTAATCATCAAGTGACATCTTCTGTCATGCCTCCCAGCGACATAAACTCTGGCTCCTCCTTAATATCTCTTTTGCATAATTTCTCCAATTTCAGAATATTTTTCTTCCTTGCATTGCAACTCTACTTATAGAGTTTCTCAA